ATTCTAAAGCTCATGGGATTTATTTTAAAAAGTCTACTACATTTATATGGCTATTTTTGTTGTTTAAGTTGCGCTAGTTCTTGCTTCGCTATGTGCGCTTTTTGGTACACTACCTCCACCTCTTGGACTTAGTTGTGGCCTTTAAGAAAGAAAGTTATAGTACTCCACGAAATATGGCAAAGTACAGGACAAAAATCAAGCAACAACGCAAGTAATAAAATTAATACAACAAGCCTGGACCTGCTCTGACGTACGTGAATGAGTGTCAGCTAGAGTTGCAACATGAGCTATAAAGAAAGTATATGCTTCAGCTCACTCAAAAAGATATTGTGACTCTTCAAAGTATGTCCGAAGCAATGATCCTGATGAATTTTGAAGATATTGACTGTTTTTCTAAATGTGAATATTCGATTCAAATCTTTAAAGCTGTTTTTCTCAAAACCAGAGTTTTTGCATCCTACCCTTACAAGAACAGTGATAACTCTCTAAAGAATATTTTCTCATGAAACTTTTCTTACTATTTCTTTATGTGTAGGACTGTGCATTCAAGCAGTATTGAAAATGAGCCGCAACATTTTGTACACTGGCCGATTGCGTAAAAAATGACATGCCAATTGTCAACTTTTTCAGACTTTTAGCAATAATGTAACATAGCTTAGAGATGTGGTGATTGGTGAGGCTAGATGCACGGAGTAGTGACCTCATTATATACAAGCCAAGTCACGTTTGAATTGCACCAATCGTTTTGCAGTTATGACTGTTGATGTAACATGTATTTTGGCATATTTTATATTTTTATAAATCCTAATTTTTTCAAATTTTACCAGTTTCATTATTGTAAACCTTAAGTTTATGTATGCCCTACAAGCCAAAACCATAATTATATCTCTTCGACGGAAACTGTAAAACTTTTTTTGAAGGTGGTGACCTACCTTAACAGGTTCAATGCACATGTTCTTCGTTACTCGATGCACATGTGCCTGATCAGATGTAAGCATTTCACATAATAAAGGCAGTCTAGAAAAAACTGTTGCTTCAAGGACTCGATCTGTTAGAGAATCTGAACTATATGGACCAACAGCCTGGCTGTGCTGAGTGAATTTAATGCAGACTGTTGGGCTACTTGATTGGTACATAGAAATTTGTACTACACTGTCAAATGAAGGCAAGACCGAAGCAAACTCCACACTTAACAAGTCTTCACACTTGTCCAGCCTTCATCGAGGTGGTGTCAGCACAGTATAAAGCCAGTGCAGGCTGAGTGTGCATATTACCTGCACCCCAATAAATATGCTTCTGAATTTAAAAGCATGTTTAGCAAGCCTATATGAGTTAGGTATGGCAAACTTAAAACACTTGCCATTTATAACTTCCATTATACTACTCCAGTACTACTACTCTTTGAATTTCCTTTAAAATTATCTGATATGAACTGTTACTGAGAAGCAGCCATGAAGGTAAGAAGGAGTACACAAGGACATGTGCTCTATTCAGCTTGTGCATGAAGAGGGCATTGTTACCGATTTGCCACATGCTCGGCTCTTACAGAGATAATGATGATTACACCTAGTGCAACCATGGGCAGATGCTGCCAGCTGGTAGGCTAGTGGCTAATAGTCATCTATTATCATGGCTGCCTTTTTGTTCCCCTAGGTTTTGCTTATGCAACTAAAATGTAGTAATAGCCGAAAATCCAGCCTCAATCATTTATGCAGACAGCCCGAGATGGTGGCACTCAAATGAAGGAAAAATGTGTTTTACTCTGCTCCATTGCATATGGATATATTTGCAACAGAGTCTGATGAACAGCAAGGCAAGAATGACCTCCAGATCAAGTTCATCCTCCTAAGAAAATGGAGGAGGAGCAGGCCGATTCGCCTCTACCATAACAAAAATAAGAAAGCTATATTAATGCAACCGGCTGCGTATGGGTGATATTTCCTACAAAGCATGCAGCTTCACACCAAAAGCATTCACATCACCACGGAAGACTGACATCTCACTTCATGTGCTGCTCCACCATACAGTTAAACCTTTTTGTAGGAGAGATGAAGCAGCAATTCTGGTCTTGTATACGAGGCGTCTCTCACATTAGAATACTATGTTTGCAGTGTCTCGTGTAAAAGGGTTTGACTGTAGTATGAAATCACAAGCCCAGAAGCATGCAATAAAAAAAAAAATGCACCTTACTTAATTTACATATCTTTCTTAGTCGTGCTGTGTACATTGTGTTTGTGCTTTGCAACCAAAACTGTGTGCCAGCACAATGCATAATAGAAGTATAGAAAACGATATACTTTGCAGAACACATAAAACTGTGTAATGACTTAAATTTGTGCACTATTAGTTACACTGGGGCGACACTGTGCTACACAGTAGAATTCACCCCCTTATCATAGTTCATAGCATAGAACACACCCACAGTTTTCATTCCACAAGGCATTCTTCGTGATTCTAGCTATATGAAACCAAATCTATGGCTTAAACTTTCACATAATCAGCTGCAATGACAACTGTCATGTAACATTACTACAACCTATGTTATAACAAAACAGGTGGCCCTAAGGCTATAACACACATTTAAACTAAATTTCCAAAATTTCTATACTTACAAACACGTGAAAGACATTAAATATGCAGCTTTAGCAAGAAGCATGCTTGCTTCACCCAGATTTATACTTCAAATATGCCTGCATAAATTGTTTTGTCTTTTTCATGAGAATTCAATTATATTATCAAATACAGCATGAAAATATGCGAAAGCCTATCTAGAAGCATGTTTTTGCTTTTCTTACACACAACCAAGAACGACTGGGACGGTAGGTGAAAAGATTCTGGTGCTAATGACTGACCAGACATTTCAAACAATGTGCTATGCTCCATTTCACCTATCCCATTGTCTGTGCCATTTTACCATAACTGAAAGCCAACTAGCCCAACTTGAAACTCGTGTGCAGATGAAAAGAGCTCCCAAACATGCAACATCCTCCAAATGTAGTGCGCTTGTCGTTGTGCTTTTTCTCTACTGGGCCAACAGTTTCTCTCAATGGGTAGCCATTACCGAAACACACCTATACTAAGATTTCAGCGTATGCAGCTGCAACCAAAAAGCAGGTGCGGGGCTAAAATTGTGCGAAAATTTCAGGAAAACTTTGTATGCTTTTTCTCATTTGACCGTTTCTCACAAACATTCGTGAAGGCACACAATGTGCACTATATACAGTGTAGACCACTTATAACGTAACCACTTATAGCGCAGAACCGGTTACAATGCGGTCTCTTTAGACTCCCTTTACCCTCCCATAAAACCCCATGTATACCCAATACCGCGAATTGTGCAGTCCCCCAAGCTGAAATACCGGTTATAATGCAGTTGCCAGAAAATGACAAAAAGGGTAGCTAGTGCACATCTGAAAGGAGGCGCCCTGGGTGCGCCGTTGGGGCGAGAGAGACAAGGTTGTTACAAAGGAGGGGCGATGCGGAGTGAACAAAGGAAGGCTGGAGAAAACAAAGAGAAAAGAAAAAAATTGGCCCGAATCTACATGCTACACTGTAAATGCCATTGAAAGACGATAGTCTTGCGTCTGGAGAGAGTGAACAAAACGTTTATTTGATGTTCTGCGCAAGAAAATCGGTGAATGGTATTCTGCGGGTGCTGCAATAGAGTGCCTTGAGCATGTGGCGGAGGCGAACGAGCGCATCTAGGCACGTTAGACACAAGTGCCATCTGGCAGTTATCTTCGAAAACGAAGGCCTGCAGCCCGCGGAGAAAGATGCGCGCCAGTCTCGGAGTTGATAAGGTGTAGAATGCAAAGCGACGAGCAGGTGCCACCACCGTGACGTCGTAGCAAAGTGTTGGAAACACCCTTTTGAGCATCACATTGCACTGTCAGCGCAGCGCGATTAAACGCTACATTCCTTAGAGTAACTTGTGTGTGCCTCTTCTAGTATAAAGGCAGACATAGAAAACATAGAAGCGTTGTTGTGGCACTTCAGATATGCGCAATAATTGTTTTTTAATTAAAAATCGCACAACTATGAACGCTAAACCTTGAGCAATATTGGTGGGCGCTGCGGATGGGGTTGGCCGTTTGGTGCCGTTTGAGGTATCGTTAGGACAGACAAACAGACAAATGTACTGACAGAGAGACAGACAGACCAAAATTTTTCCGTCGAAGGTCCCCAAGAAAGACTATCGTATTTAAAAAAAGAAGGTGGCTGCCTTGGCGATGGACAAGCCTTTGCCCCGGCACAGAGGTCACTGTCTACTTGCATCTCTAGTGTGGCTCTGGCCGCGTGCTGCTAGACATGGCACGTGACGTGCGATTTCGTCCTTATCAGCTGCGCTTAACAGTCTCCTGTCTGGTAAAGGGTCGTTATCGAGCTTGCTGCAAAGAACGCATTTGCTACCTCGTCTGCTAGTTTAAAACCTTTTACGGCTTTATGACACAAGCTTTCACTTTTGCTACCAGTGTGCTGCCTACGTTATAAGCTTTGCTGGTTTTCGTCGTTGATCTCCCGGCTGTGAAGGCGAACTTCGTATTGCGCACGCTGTTCTTGGTTCAGTGCTTGAGTGTGATCTTTTCAACGCTGGATCTTCATGTCTTGGACAAACTTCCTGCGGCAACATACCGAATGGCACGCTAGGCCTAATCTGCATTCTTGCGTTTCGGTAGCAGTCCCGTGCTATATAACTAGCAGTTTGGTACGGAATCAACTAAACTCTTTGCGGTGGCTTTACTTGACGGGAAGGGATACATAACTATAACGAAAACGAGGGTGGAACGTGTAGCACTCGAATAGTGGCTTGCGATTCGATTGCGATGTCTCAAAATGGTGTGTGCGCCTGTAAAAAAATGATCGGAGTCTTTCAGCGCGTGAAATTTTGGTTGTGACTCGATATAGCTAGTTTCTGTGTAATGGGCATAATCGAGGCAGTCTTAGAAGTACTTGAATTTTCGCAGTGGTGCTTTCACTTGTTAGACCCCCCCCCCTCTTTCTTGTTCATTTCTTACCTTGGTAACGCATGTCTTGGGATGTTATTTTTTCTTAACATTCGGAAACTTAAACGGTTGTAAGCACCACCCATCACATGCTGCGATTCTCGGACACACGAAACTGGATGCTCAACAGGTTTTGCACAAACGCACCTCTTGAAAAAGACTCTTGATTATAGTGCAGTATCGCTAATAGTGCGTATATTCGAGATGTTTTGGTTATAGTGCGGTACCGCTAATAGGGCGGATATTCGAGACTCCCGCGACTTACGTTATAAGTGGTCTATACCATAGCGTACACTATGCACAAATATAATACACATCACTGGGGACCGGTGTTATGCAAAGTGTTGCAAGAAAGGGAGGTGCTATGCAAGCAATTTGTGATGCGACAGCGTGTGCAGGCAATGGCTCAAAAGGATCATAATGACCATGACCAGTGTATGACCATAAAAAGGCATTATTTTGCACTTTAGACAACAAACATTGGAATCTGCTTCATTACAATTTATAAATATTCCAAATGCAGTATAATGTTGAGCAACACAGTAGCGTTAATTGCTAAAAGGAAATGGCTGAGGAATGTGAAGCAACACAACAGCAGTCTCGAAGCACTAGCTGGCACTTGCTGCTACTTCATGTGAAGCATATGTAGTGCTAAGCCTGCGACCAAATAGAAATTGGCGCACGTGTACACACTCTTCGCCATGCTATGTTAGAAAACAAAAGTGCCAATGGCCTTAAAGAGAATGCAACTGTAGCCTACTGCTTACGGAATAAGATTATGTAACATTTTTGCTTAATTTGAGAGCTTTAAAATAAAGCAAGGTGGGAAACTACCTAATATAAAGCACCTGGTGCATAGGGTTCTAAACAATGGCCTGGATTGAAAGTGACTTCATGAAGCTCCATTACAACAACAGCTATCAGAGTTATCTTGCCATCAGTGTACGATGCAGAATAGCTGAAGTTGAACAGAGTACTCTAAAGCAGCTCTACATAGCAATAGAATTGCAGCAGACTCTTTAATTCAAACTCAAGAGGACCCAGAATTATTTGATGAAAGTGTATGTATAACACAATTCAACATATCAGGAAAAACAAGAACACAGACTGCTAATATTTTTGGTACAGAGAAGCAAAAAGTATCAAACGACAGAATTAAGTTAATACGATCGAATCTCGACAATTCGAACTCGAAGGGGCCCGAAAATTTGTTTGAATTAAAAAGAAGTTCGAATTAATGAAAGCTAAAAGAATAGAGGGCTCACCACGCAGTGGCGCATGTGCGTTGAGCTAACACACGAGAGGGAAGCTTCAGAAGACTTACATTTATTCACAAATCACAGGACATCCGTCATTAACTGAAGTAATCGGTGATCCACGTCTGCACACGTTTGTCTTGCAGTGAATTTTGCACGCAGTTTGTGAAGCATTTTAACTTCGGCTTCAGCGTTCTCCTGGCAGGAGAAGTAACGCGCAGCTAAGTACAGTGCTAACACTCTCTAAAGACGACGACAGCGATGGCAGCTGGAGCGTAGCCAGCACATGAAGAGAAAGAAGGAGCGTCTCAACGCGGGGCGATGAGCAGATCGGCATTGGAGAGAGAATTAATACTCTGTAGCGGGGTTTTTTTTTTTTTTTGCCCTGTTCGCGAGCAGCGCTCAAAGGACAAGGGTCTCTACGTTACGTGGCAGGGACAGGAAAGGGGAAGCGTGGCACCAGCGCGCCGCAGATCAGCATTAGAGAGAGAGCCAACACTCCGCGACAGCTTTCTTCTTTTTTTCCCTCTCTCTCTTCATGCGCGGCATTGAAAGAAGGTCTCTACGTGGCAAGGACAGAAAAAAGAGAATAGCAACATAGGCACGCCGCAGATAGGCATTTGAGAGAGAGCAAATATTCCGCTGCAGCCTTTTCTTTCCCTTCCTCGCGCGCAGCATTGAGGTGTCGGAGGTGCTGTCGCGGGATTTGGCGTGGTATTGAGAGCATTTTCGAAGAGCGGTATGTTCGAATTAACCGTCGCAAGTGCTTGCGCGTTCGAATTACAGGGCGTTTTCACCAATTGGAATACACATAGCTTTCACAGGACCACAGCGTAAGTTCAAATTAACCGGAAGTTCGAATTAAGCGTGTTTGAATTAATGAGATTCGAGTGTAGTGCAGTTTTAATGTCTTGAAAATAAAGCAGAGCCACAAAAATTAGAAATATGTTTGACTTAACAGACGATTTCATAAAGGAGTTAGAATTACCATGAGTCAACTGCAGTTCTGTAATAACTGTCCAGCAACTATTCTATATCACACTAAACTTAACAATATGAGGATGTACATAAGAAACGGGCCTGAAGTGGAGAGTGACAAGCGGTAGTTTTGTCGTGGAAGACTACAGTCCACCCCTCAGAAGTCAATAACAATGTTTCCTCATAGTCTAGTGACTTTCATACCGTGATACATTCATACCTGGGTCGAACATTACAATGAACTAGATTTCGAGGGGCGTGTGACAGCAACAATTTAAAAAAAGAAAATAAATGACCAGGAAACAGCCACCTACACTTTGGCTATAGTGAATTGGACATACAACACACAGAGAAAAGGGTCACTATATAACTACATTTGTGCTCAGCAAAGATGTGCTTTTTTTTTTCCTTCTTACAAGTGCACTCCTTGCTGATCAATTTAATTTTAACAACATCCCAAATAGTCCCAAGGCCTCAAGAGTCGCACTGCGACCGTCACCTGGATAGCTCTGCTTATAAAAGCACACGCGCAGTGTCTGGCAAGGAAGTGACAGATGTGGTGCATTACAACACACACCAATAATCCACCACTTCCCACAGACCTCCCTCTCGTTCATTAGGATTACCATTCTAATTTGCAGTGAAGCCTACACGCCACTGTGCTTTTAAAACACTGCACAGTGAGCGCCCTTTGGCCAGCCAGGCATGTGCTACAGCACACACAACGAAAGAAATTGAGGCTTTGTTTTTTTTCCAGAAATTTCCGAGTCGATGAGCGGTGAAAAGTCTTGGACATTGACGCGCTGGACAAAACTTGGCATGCTGCACGCCAACAGCCCCTGTCCTTCTCATCAACTTTGACAGCAAGTAGAGGGGCCGGATATCGCCCTTTCCACACAAATGTAAGGCGCCGTCTGACCTCAGAGGTGAATAGCAGCATGGGGCCGCCCTTTTTCTCCTCCCATATCATGACAATTTGGCTGGCTTCCTCTTGATGCCAGGTGAGCAGGCTGGGTTGATGCTGCTCTGATGCCAGGACTTGTCCACTAACACTTGTGTGACTTGCCCCGGAGGGGAATCCAGTGTATCTTTCCTAATGTCCTTGGTGGGTCCAGCAGTTGTCGGAGCAGAACTGTGCCGACTCTTCCAGCTGGTTTAGGAGCCAGGGACCCACAGACGTTGGCACCTGGGGCTGCCCCGCCCAGGACTCACTTCCCTGCACCCGAAAATAAATGTGGATCGAAGCTTGCATTTATCTGCAAAATTACAACTATACCAGTCATTTTCACTGCTGCATCCTGAATAATACGTTGCACTACAGTGCTTAGAATGATATCCTCAATTGCTGAACTTCAAGGTTGCAGTCGGAATTATGACTTCAGGGTGCTGACCCTGACATTTGGAGTTGGCACAAATTGAATATACCCAAGTACAAACAACTGTGATTGAACAAGCTCATACACACAGCTGATAATTTCATTTCATCAGAAATTTTGTTAGGTCGAATGCCCATGTTTCAACAGTAAAAATAACTAGTGCTATATAACTGAACAAATATTACAGAGCAGCATAGGCCACTACACCATGAATCTGCCACTGGTATTTTTTGCACCATTGGTACTGCACTTGAATGCTGCTTTTATAATAAAAATGGACATCACATGTGGCCAGTAAAGATGACCAGTACCTGGCTTTTTCATGCTCTTCTTTGCTTATTGCATGTAGTATCTAGTCACAAATATCTTTTTTTACAAAGTCTACTTAACAATCTTACTTTGTAGTATTTTGTATCATTGGTTTTTTACAATTTTATGTGCAGTTTAGACTTGCGTACATGTTTGTGGCACTCAGGACTAGGAAGTACAGCTTTCCGGATACAATGACAACAAAAATCCAGGATCGAGTGGGACTTGAACTCGGGCACTCTGGTGGCAGTTCCACCACAAAGCCCCACCAGTGCTTGGAACTTCTTCGCAAAAAGACCCTATACAGGCACAATGTCAAGCTGCACATAAAATCACACTGACAGATGTAATGTAGTGTGGAAGATAATCACAATAACCAGCAGTCACACAATGCGAATCGTGCATAATAAGTAGGTGTTTTCAAGCTTACCACAAAGGGCTAAGCAATAATTTATCATTCCTATCAGCCACACAGCCAACGTTAATATGATGCTTAATAGATCTGTAGTGGATACCTCTCTTTGCAGAATGATGAATAATCACTTTATAAGTAATTTCCCTACATTGAAAAAATATAATGATTCAAATAATAATGGACACTTTGCAACTGTACTTGCAGCAGTTGCTCCACGAGTGTTCACAGTTCTTTTAGACAGACTGCTGCTCCAGTTTTTGCTGGGACCCTACGGAGTGTTTTGCACAGGCCTGGCACTGTTCAAAAGTAGAGTTATATAAGCTAAGTATGGAAAATTTTAAAACTTGCTATACTTTCCTGCTATAATTTACTGCTTCCGACTTGTTTCTTATACGATACAGACCCTGCTAATGTTTGTATTATTCCAAAATCATTTGATACTACAGTAAAGGTTCATTAATTCTACAAGTATTATTTGAAAAATCTGATAATATAGACATGTTCTTTGGTCTCAGCAAGTATATGTATTGACACCTTGTATCCCAGATGCCATGTTTGTGGCAGTTTTGTTCAAAATTTCACTAAGCAACAAACATGGAAGTCCAAACTATCATTTACGCTTGATTAGAGGCACCATTGGTACTGCACTTGAGTGCTGCTCTCATTATAAAAATGGACATCACATGTAGCCAGTAAATATTACCAGTACCTGGATTTTTCATGCTCTTTTTTGCTTATTGCTTGTATGATCTAGTCATAAATATCTTTTTTTGCAAAGCCTACTTAACAATCCTAGTTCGTAGTACTTTGGTATCATTGGTTCTTTACAATTTTATGTGCAGTTTAGACTTGCACACTTTATGGCACTCAGGACTAGTACAGCTTTCCAGGTACAGTGGAACCCTGATTACACGACTTTTAGGGGACCAGACGAAACCATCGTATAATCAGGGCGTCATATAATAATAAAAAATAAATTTGTCGGCAATGACACTCAGCCTTGCCAAAAAAAAGATCAGTACAGACCGCCTGAGTAAGCCCACGTACCGACCTTGTGCCTTGGCAAGGAAGGTGGAATTTTTCTTGGCAGTGGCAGCCAATGGCAGCATTACTTAGTTGTAGGAGGTGTGAGCGAATCTTTATTCTCAGCTTTTAAATAATCAATTGAACATGCATATTTCTACCCATAAACAGTCGGAAAGTTTCCTGCTTGTGAAAATGAAAACGAAACCGCGTTGCCAACAGCCTCCCGTCAGAAGACTCGGACACAGTGTCACCGCTATTACATAATGGCGACGAACCACGAATGCCTTCGTGCATGACTGAGCTGTGCCATGTTGTAATTTGTAAGCTTGTGAAGAGCAAGCAATGATTTCCTGCTGTAATCATAAAGATTGACATCAAGTGAAAGTAATTTTGCACGGTGAAAGCAGCTGCCATTGTGTGTGCGCAAGCCTGTGACTGCGAGTGCCACAGAGGCAGGATATCAGCTGTATGTTGCCCAGAAAAAGATTCCATAAATCGAAAACATGAAAATATCAGCTTTTTGGTGGGCTGAAGCCACTCTGCGTGAATAGAGCTTGACTAGGTAACGAGTTTGGATACATATGCACTCGATCGGTGTGTATGTAGAAGTGCATCAACTTCCAGGAGAGTAAATTTTCCACTCTAAGAAGACTTACTTTTCTAATGGTCAACCTAAGGGAATGCACTCGTGAATACTTGGATAACGTTTGATTCGAATAAAACTGTTTTTTTTTCCTTTCAAACGGAACATAGAAGTCATCATAATATGTTGGGTCAGTCTCAAACTAATTCGTCATAAAATGCAGGTAGACGCAAAACCGGGGGACGTATAACTGAAGTTCCACAGAATTCTAAAAAGTGTGCTGTGGTTAGCAGTGTGACGTAGTTCGACTCCTTTTTAAAATAAATTTATCACAAAATAACTTTTAATTATGAGGGCAAGACTTCAAAAACTAGCTAATCCAAAACACTCTCTTTCAAAATGAATATCCAAGTCGAAGCAAAGATGAAAATTTGGAAGACTCAGAGACGGCCATGCATGAATAGTGAATTACATCTAGTCTGATGAACAAAGAAAAACAATGACACTAGGTGAAGAAGGATCCCAACAAAATAAAAACATGAGAGGAAAGTAAGAAATACAATACAAAAGAAATCAACTGTTTTCAAAATTTTCATGCTTCATGAAATTTTTAAAGAGTTCAGAGCATGGTTGCAAAATTGTCAACTACACATTCCTGGTTGCAACCAATGTGGCAGTAATGAAATTCTCATAAAATATACAAGTATTGGCCTAAGCTTTTTCCTAAGCATTACTTTGAACAAAACTGCCTGGAAATATATTTTCCGAATGCATTCACTGTGTATACTGTATGTGGGAAAAAAAAAAAAAAGAGTCAACTTGGATGCTCAGAGGCATCCAAATTGCCCTTTTGCATGCACAAAGCGCTGATAATGTGCAATGCAAAAGGGCAAAGAGTTCGTGAGAATGGCCACGGACCTTCACTTCCGTTTTCACTTCGTTCAATGGGCGTGCAATGACACAAAACGCATGCATGTTTGAAGCTTCTGAAGATGAAGAGCTTCATGCTGGCATACAACTCACTTCTTACGTTGTGATAGACAAGTGATCAGTTGCCGGTAATTTTTTGCAATGAAAAAAAATATCACGTGGCTTGGTGATGCCATTGCTGGCGGTAGGTAATAAGGCATTGTTCAGAGCAGATTTCTGCTTAGACATGAGAGCCTTGAGTCGCCGACACATTGAGAATGATATCAATATCACACATTGAATGTGATATTGAGCCGCGCTTACATTATGAACAAGTCACCAATGACAAAACTTGTGGCTGAGACACATTTCTAATTCGAAATGAGTCGCAAAGGACAAAAATTGCGGGCTTTACACAGCTATAATGCAAAATGAGTACAAGATTTTGTCCCCTAGAATATATGAGGATTGTGAGCCGCACTCGCATTATGAACAAGTCACCAATGACGAAGCTTGTGGCCGTGACACAACTTTAATGCAAATTGAGTTATTTATGTATTGTCTAAGAATACATGAGGGCCGTTAGCCGCGCTTGCATTGTGAAAGAGTTGCTAAGGACAAAATGAGTACAAGATTTTTTTGCATTATGAAGTGACCAATGACAAGACTTGTGGCCGTGACACATTTCTAATGCAAAATGAGTACAAGATTTACGTATTCCCCGAACTATACATTCATATAATACACACTTGTTTACCGTTTTCTTGATACTTTCAATAATGTGGCATTCAGTTTTGTTTTGGTCCCATGAAGTCGAAGCTTTTATGAGGGCAAGTCAAAAACAGACCTCCATAGTGAAGCGAATTGAACATCAAATTGATAGTAGCAAACATTCCTCATTTGGATTGAACGACCTTACTGCAGCAAATACCTATGGGGAAACAAAAAATTGCTGTGCACACAAAGAGCATTTGCAGCAAGAACTGGGCTGCTTGGCTCCTCATTCTACCACAATGGGCAGTGCCACTCTACAAGAGACAGTGCTACGATTTCTGGAAAAGTTGATGCCATTGTCCCAACTGCTGCCTACCTTTGTAGGAGGCGTGACGAGTGCCGGTGGAGTGGCCGGCAGGGCTCCCGCAGGGGGGGTGAAAGGGCGTGTCCCGTTGAAAGGGTACAGCAGTGGAGGAGGAGGATCGGCCAAAGCTCCATAGGCCAGGTCACTAGGGAGGAGGGCAAAACCTGTCGTGGGAGAAATGACAACACGCACAGTCCGGCCAATTGCATTTGTAATAAATAACAATGATGGCTAGTCCCATTTTTGAGCATGTGCATCATCCATGTCTCATTTAGGAGTGCTATAAAAAGCAGGGTGATTCGACATAAGATCGGACAAAGCATGGCTGGTCAACCTCTTAAATTTCTTTCAAAATCTTACATACTGTCACCTGATGAGTGGAAAGAAGAGATCCACAATTGGTTTTGCCCAAAATTTTTTTTTCAAAGCACAGTAAATCAATAATGACGAAAAGGTGATTGCCACACTTATCTGCTCTGCTATTTTTTCTTGAATTTGGTGATGAATTACACAAAATATAATAAATCTACGTACCTCAAACTTATTTACATAAATATAGACGTAATTGCACTTACGTTCAATTGTATTTTAGTGTAGATTTTTCTATAAAAATTGTCAAACTTGACATAAAAAACATTTTTTTGCCTAGTTTGCAGGCCTTTATTTAAAAAAATGCCTATGAGAGATTGGTAAAAGTTCCGGATTACTTTTTCAGCATACTTATTTAAAAACTGTCAAAGGTTATATTATATTATATTTATCGAAAAGTGGTATATTATACCACTTTTCAATAAAAAGATATATTTGCACCAACTTTAAGAAAAGAGCATGCAGGGAAAATTTCTCACGACGATTTAAAAAAACAATTTTTGATATGTTTTAATACTTTCCCCGCTTATTCTCCTGCACATCAGCTTTCACAATCAATAAAAACGTGTTGCATTATATGGTTTCACTTGCAGTTATGGCACATCAAAAAATGCCCTTGAGCATGGGATACGCAGCAGCAGTAGATCGGACTACCTGCTCACCAAGTATAAAATGCAGGCCTATACTTCAGTTTCATGAAAGGCAAGCAGCACAGAAATAGTTGTCTACTGCACCGAGGACACTAATTTCGAAATGATTTGGACACAGGAGTGGTCATGAGTGTGGGATTACCGAGCAAGCAAGCGTGCACAGTCCATGTTGCGGTGTGAAGAGGGCCCGTCAAATAAGGCCTTTGTGCAAGACTTAGCCCAACATGTGGGTCTGAAGATTGTATTAACTTTGTGGTCGCAAACGGCTTTTCAATTTGGCATGATATTGTATTGAGTAATTATGTCTTGCCACTGCAAATTAGCAGTGATACACATGGTGGTGAATGATTAAAAATTAGTGTTGTACGCGTGTGGTTCATTGAGGCACTGGAACATCAAGCTGTGATGTATAAGTTGGTAACTGTGCGAAAATTTCATGTTTTTGAAATGAGCTTCTTGTGCTTCGGATGGTGAACGCTGTCAAACTTCAACTTCCACGTCGATGCCTCAAACTGTTTCTTGTGCGAGCACCGAATGAGGTCGGAGAACTTGAGCTACAGACTGCCAACCTGTGATCTTGGCCAAGCACATGTGTTGTAATCCTGCCGTGTCCAAGTTGGATCAGTCAGCTCGGGACGCTTTTGTTTAAATATAGAGTCGACTCCTCTTAAACAGAACTAGAAGGGGATCCAGAAAACTGTTCAATTATAAGAAGTTTCATTTAGGCAAAGTGCACTTATTTCATGAACCAAAACTTTTATTCAAAATGCACAAACCTCACCTTACTCATGTGGAGAAAAAAAGGAATGAAGGGTGATTTGTTTGGCAAGCTTGAGTTGTTTCTTCACAAGCTACGCACTCATGCCTGACAAACTAGAGAGAAATTCTGGACAAGACTCATGCTCAAATAGCGCTGCAAAAGTTAAACAGCCTCTTTAGCTGATCTGTCTGGTGGCACGACTGCACTCGCAATATTGTCATCATATTCATCGCTGGAAGGTTGATCCTCATCTTGCACTTCGGCAATCATTTCCTCATTTGATTGCCATCATTTTCATCAATTTATTCATACTCCTGCAGTGTGAAAGGGGCAGAAGGCATGTCCTGACTGAAATTTTCATGTCTCATGCCTCAATGTCGGCATCAGCAGGGCTTTTTTCTGCATCAGGTACTATTTCTGGCACTTGAAAGCCAGCATAATGAAAGCATCTGTGTATTGTTGTAGCCTTCACTTGCTCCCAGGCACGAGCCAAAATGTGGATGGCTGCCAATAAATCTATGCTGTAGCATTTCCTGCTGTCTGCACAAAGCAGCATTCGATGGAGCATCTGTCTGCAGTAATGAACCTTGATGTTCTGAATAACCCCTTAATCCATCAGCTGGATCACTGCCGTTGAATTGGCTGGCAAGAACTCCAGAGTGATGGCTTGGAGTCCTTCAACTTGACCATGAGGGATGAAAACAACCTTTCTGCCTTGCCACATAAATCTTGCGTCTTCCTCCAGTAGCCAGTTTTCGAAAATGACCATGGTCATCCATGCTCTTCCGTTCGCATGGTACACAACAGGAAGGTGTCGAATTCAATTTCTTCATTTGCACTAGGTTAGGTTAGGTTAGGTCCACCAGCACAGCGATACGATCTTTGCTGCGTTTTTCTCCACTACAGACTTCGCCTTTGAAGGCCAGAGTCTTTGATGAAAACACCTTGTAAAAAAGACCCATCTCGTCTCATGGCTCAAAACTCATCAAAATTTACTTAAGCCATCCCTGTTGCCAGTTGGTGCAAATGTCCCTGTTGCAGGGGTGCAACAGCCAAAATAGAATTCAAAGCAACTTTTGGAGCAGCAAAATCTTACTTTTGAAGCACGAAAATCTAAATTTGGAGCATGCTACAGAGAAAAAAAACATTCACTTTTTATCATGAAAGACAAAATTTGGAGCAGACTTGGTTTCTTCCTCAGGGGAAACAGACTACGTAGCAGCAGCGTCTTCAAAGCACTCGCGGGGCGGTTAATGAACCCCTCCTCCCCCGTCTCTCACTCTCTCGTTTCGCCATGGAGCGCAGACCGTGTGCATACACTGGGGGGAAGGGTTCCGAGAGAGCAGTTGATGTTTTGGGCCGTTCGCTGTATATGCCACGACTCGAGTAGTAACCTTCTTCTCCAGTTTGTCACGCTTTCAAGAATGGTCCTTGAAAGTAAGGACCATCCTTGAAAGTGAGGACCATCCTTGAAAGACGAACTGGAGGAGAAGGTTACTAATCAAGCCATGGCATATACAACGAACGGCCCAAAACAGTCTCAGTTTCCCCGGAAAAACCAAATCGGTTCCAAAATGTCGGGTTTCTTCACAAACTTCTTGGTTTGAGCTTGAATCATTTCCCACTTTTCATACGCAACCAGACAGACATCTGTCGAATGTTTACACTCACAGTGGTACTATGGATGTGCGCACGACGTCGAAAATGAAGAGCGATCGACACGGAGTGATCGACATTGGCTTGACTTGAGGTGTTCCCATGGTTGTAAGATTATCTTTGGCATGAGCGTGTCTATGCTGTTTGTGCCGTTTAACCGTAGGTGACCAATAAGCAGTTTTTACCTATGCATTTACTGCGCTATACATAGAAATCCACCAATATGAGCCCGTTTAGTTCCGTTAATGAGGCATTTTCGTTTAAGCGAGTTTCGTTTATTGGGAGTCCACTGTACAAGTACGCATTGTAGACATGCTTTTGTTCGCATTTACTTTGGACACACAAAAAGGGCAAACAATGTCTACTGCATCTGCAATGTTAACAAGGTGCCTGCATGCGAGCAAAGGATAGATAAAATAGTTATGCTCCAATTAATATGCAAAGAAGCTATCCCCAGCCATATCGCAACCTATCTGTCTAAGGACATGAAAACGAGCCCTCTTTGCCCCAGAACACGCCGGACTGTGCGCGCTTGCTTCCTTGTTGATCTTGCACTCATGGCAGCTCCCGTTACCAAACCATTTCAAAATTGATGTCCTCAGTGCAGTCAACAGCTGTTTCAGTGCTGCTTGCCTTTTTCAGCTATTTCAGTGCTGCACAGACACACAAAGGAAGTCAGGACACCACAAACATCCAACAACTGAAGAAGCGCATGCCCATGCAATATGCGAACCTATCAATCTGGCACGCATAGTTGCCTACGTAAAAGATTACTGTTGAGGCATTTGATTTCATCTTTATGCAAGTTAATCGACAGTTGGCTCATGCATGCGCAACTGCTATTATAAATATACCATGCCTCAATCATCAAACACGTTTCTTTATTCTCACGCTGGCTCAATGCCTTCTAATCTTTCTTTACATTGTCGACAGTGTAAGTGCGCACCTAAATTTAATGAATACGCAGTTTTGTATTGCTAAATGAGTGAAAATGGCGTTCTTGAACAATCGAAACGAGGCAGCGCAGTCCGCTGCTGTCATCGTCAGCGTAAATCCTACTGCAAGGATGGTAACGACGTTTCAGATTAACATAAAAAACAGCGCCAATAACGAGAGACAAGAAAAAGAAGGAGACAGACAGCGGCACTGAACTTACAACAAGATTTATTTGCCAGAACCGCACAATATATACTTGGGCAGTATCTAACAAAAAAAGAAAATACAAAACAAACAAAACAGAATCCACCTAACAACCACATAGTCATCTTCACAACGCACCATGAGCAGCACGTGTGCTAACGTGCCGAAGGAAATCTATTTCTTTTAATGATAGCGCAATCGAAGGCCTGCTGACACATGCACTGCCCAGCCTGTGAATCATGTCGTACCAACTCGCCCAAGCAACCACGTTAGCTAGTTTCAGATTAGCTAGGTCAGGGAGGTCTTGTGTCACGTTCACATTGTGAAAAAAGCCGCGAGTGGTGAAAATTGTGGCTTACAGTGCTTTTGCGCAAAGTACAACATTTACATATTCACCAAGAAAATAAAAGCGAATTAACATAATAGGCATTTGTTTATGGTTTTTTTTTGACACTATCGATAGATAGTATAAATTTGGTTCATTTGGACATTTTTCTGGTCACATGAAATCCGAATTAACAAGTTTTTAATGTATTCAGATTTCACTATCTTGTTTGAAATCGCTAATATGAAATATCCAGCATGAACATAAATGTCAACCTCAAGTGCAGCCAAAGTTCTAGCATAAGAATCCTGTACAGTATTACACGGCAAAGAAAGCAATAAAGCAAAGAGGCCTTTTTCTCACTTATTCCATCTATGACAGAATAGGATCTGTCCATCATGCAGAATAAAGACTCCTCTAGACTGTAACAACACAAGCCCAGACACACTGAAACCACCGACCCTGTGCGTAGAGCGAAGGGGCAGCTGCAGCCGATGGCAAGGGCAAACGCAAGGCAGCAGTGGGGCTTGTCAGTTCCTGAGGTTGCCGGGACGTCACCTGGATGCAGTAATAAGGCATGCCTTCAGCAACCAAGAACAGAGGAGTAACTAAACAAGTACCAACAAAAACATTTCACTTTTTTTATGTTGCAATAAATAGCTAATGACACCCTCATCATGGCTGCTAACCTTGTTTATTTGGGCACATGACGAAGATTTTTTATAGCACAGAGTTGCAATTTTGGCTTCATAGAGTGAAAACACAGCCATTACACAGTGGGCACTTCTTTTTTTAAACAGAGTTGGTCCCGTGAGCTTAAAAAGAATGGAGACAGACTATGTACACACTGCGCATGGAATTCCGTGCACGTGAGCACCATTCTGACAACTGAGGGGGAGAATAAGAAATTCGACAGATCCCACATACTTTGGGAATCGATGTTGTGTGAACCATGTGGAGGGAAGGTGACTGTGTTTTAATTTCTTTATTGAGCGAAACATTGCAAAATTACACTAAAATATGAATAAATGTTGTATGGACAGACATGTTGAACAGTTGCATATATTTTATATACAGAGGGAACTTCGATTATACAATCGAGCCCGCTTATAATTTGAGCATGACGCGGCATTCGTTCGCTGTATCCCAAGTTCGTAGTAAATGAAACACAGCTTTTAAAAAAAGTTGCGAGTGAAAACACAAACTTTTCTTGCCCCAAAAAGTCCATGATGCATGTGTTTCGAAGAGCAAGAAGCGATAAGGGCGGTATCGAGTTCATTTAAAACGGCAGGGTGCTCGTTCGCCGAGGCCCGTGGCATAAGCTGCATAAGGCACTGGCTCCAAAGTTTCGTCGTTCTCGCAATCCCATTCCTTCAAATCACTCTCGCCATGTATGACATTCACAATGCCCCAATCCATGCACGGTTCAGTGTCGGCATCATTATCGGCAGTAATTAAACCATCGCAACAGATGTCCCACCCGCTCTCCCAGGTCGGGGTCAACGAAGCGCTGCCACAAATCACCGCCGCAGTTCGGAAGCTTCAGGCTCGGCATCGGGCTTGACGCTGACGAAGTCGGCCTCATGAAAACAGTATCCTGCGCATGTAGTCGTCACCACTGCCCACGAAATATTCACCATCTCCACAGCTGAATAACGGGACGCCCGAAGCGGCAAGTTGGCTGTCAGGTGGTCAACAGATACGAGCAAGCGCTCCGCAACGTGGCACCTAACGCGCAGATTACGCTCAAGCCAACAATCACACTTTCGACGTTTTGTTGAGCGGCAGGAAAAAGCGTGCAAGTCCTCCCGTCAGCCAAGAGGGAGCAAGACGCGAAACGCGACACACAGGCCAGAAGGCGTGGAACAGCTTTGGGCCCGTTTCTAGTCAGGAAACGAAACTAATTCGAGCCAGCGTGGCGGGCATCGCGGAGCGGTGGAGACGGGCGAAGGAGTTGTGATGAAGAGAGGAGAGGGGATTCGCGAGAGAAGGGCAAGGAGTTGCGATAAGGAGAGGGGAGGATGCGGCAGGAGGGAGACCTTGAAAACTAAAACACACAGGAAGGAGGCAGGTTGGGTAGCTTGCTTGAAAGGTCCGCAAAACTCTCCCGTGAAAAAAAACTTGGAAAGAGTGCCTACACGTGCAGAAGTCAAAGCACGCACGGCCGCCTGGATCAATGCGCGCGGCGGTGCTCGAAGATTTGGCGGCTGTGGTAAAAAAATCGTTTTGTTGCGCTGGCGGGTTTGCATAACCTCACGAACTTCGATACTTCGCGATTAGTTCCGTGCAAATTAAAAGCCCTTTTCGCGCTTCCACACTCTGCGGAAGGCTGCTGAGCCAAGTGCAAAGTGAGCGAGAACAAGTCCTAAACACGAAACGAATCGCGAATTATACGAGTCGGTGGGGTAGCGTGCGTGCGTGCACTAGACGCAGACTATCGGATACAGTCAGTGACCGACTATGTTGGCAAATGGTCTGGTCACTCCAGGCTGGCGATTCCAACGACTGAACCAGCGATCAAAAACAGGGTAGATGGCCGGCCGGTCTTCGAAAGATCGGTGGCACCGTGAAAACACGGGCCTCGTCTGGCGATGCGGTGTGCTCAGAGTAGCCGGGGGGACAAAGGACGGAGGGGTGCGCAACAAAAAGCAGTCGGGGCATGAAGGAAGGAAACAGCTTTCCTTCCTCCATGGGTTGGGGAGAGTGGCAACTAGAGGGTCGCGGAGGCAGGGTCGGCGTTTAACAATAAGAATGTATGGGCATCTTGCTGATGCTTGATTGGTGGTCGAAAGTGGTTTCCCGGGAAGGCGGCAGACCGCTGACTCCGTTCGCTTTAACCGATTAGCAGCGCTCGGACATGTTCGTTGTAAGTGCGATTTCTTGCCATTGACCCAATGTATATTTTCACGGTCACGCGTATATTGTTCGTTTTAAGCGAAAGTTCGTGTTAAGTGAGGCCGTTATATGTGAGCTCGACTGTACATCCCACGGTTTTGCGACTACCCACATTTTACGACAAATTGGTTTGGTCCTAGCAAATTCCCCATAGAATTGATGTATTAAAATCCTTTGTTATACAATGTAAATTTTATGACGACTTTGCGATTCCGCCCGAGAGGAAAAAAAAAAGCGCCTTTACTCGAATTGAACGTCAACCAAATATTCACACCCAGATTATACGACAATCTTGCGTGATCCCCTGAAAGTTGTATAATCAGGGTTGAACTGTAACTGGTTTGGCCTGAGGGGGGCAAGTACCTTTTGCACCCCCCCTACAGATAACTATGTTTAGTATCCAAGTGATAACTTGTAAAATATGTTTTAGAATTTGCTATATTTAGATCATATAAATTGGTATAACAAGCTTTTAACGGGGGACGTGCCTTTGACAATGAACTTTCTTGTTTCTGGTCGGATGATGATAAAAATTGGCACAGACACTAAGAATGGCCTCACATCCATAAAAATTTCGATGCAATAGCACAAATACTTAATGAGAAACGAATTATTTTTTAATTGAACCTCGTGGAGGGGCTGGAAGATTTATGAAATGACAAAAATAGTTGGCAATTACTGTATGCACAGCCAAATGAATGTTGAAGGGGGCTGCGTTCTCAAAATAATTTTTTGCAACACTAAAACTTGTAGTTAACGTTTACTCCAGTGACACTGCAATGAGCACAAACTCACTACAAACAAGAAACCCTATGAAAATTTTTTAAAGAATAAAATGAAAAACTAAGATCGCAGCCCCCTGAAGCACAGTTCAAGGATCATTACAAAATAAACGGAATCAAAATCTGTGCAGTGGTTGCCCAGATATCTGCCTCAAGAGCTGAGCATAATGCCAAAGAAACAGTATTGAGAAAACTACGTTTAAAGTTTCAACTTCTCTTTACGTCTCTAAAACACCTAAAAATTGTGATCTCAGGTTTGTCTCATGATATTTGGACTTCTCATATTTGATCTCTGACCAGTGTGCCCTGGTTGCCTTTTGTTTTTCCCCATAACCTCCCTTTCATGATTTACAAAGAACAAGTATGGATTTCAAACCAAGTTCTTTGTATGAAGGAGTGGTGTGATAGGCATGACAGAAAAGATAGTAATTGAATAAGACCATATACTAAAATTATTAAATGTATATCTTGTGCTTAAGTTGCAATTAGTGTAATTAAGTACTTGATTACAAATATTCACTGAATATTTCTTTATTTGGAGAGAGGTTCATTTCATCAGAAAAATGGATCACACCATGACGGCCTATGCCTTGTTTCCAAATAACAATGTTATGGGAAGAAAACTGGTGGCACAGGAATTTTTAGCAGTATATTTAATGACACCAAACGGGCATATAAAAATTTGTGCCCCTGATTCATACATGCTTTTTTGCCACTCTAGCCGTGAAATGCATCATCAAACGGCCAGTCGCAGAAACGCTAATCTACGAGGCTTTCATTGCCTCAGAACATTCATAGACGTTCGTGGCGATACCAAGCACGGCTCCAAGCACGTTTAATCGCATCTCAAAAGCTTATTAACAGCAAGCACTCCATATGACCGTGGTGTGCGCGGCCGCGTGGACAGTGCAGCCGGCGCGTTATGTACTTGCTGGCAGTGTTCGGTGACAATGCGCGAAATGTGTAATTATGATGACAAAAAAAAAAAAAAAAAAAAAAACGACGCGCACTGCGCTTGGCATCGCATTTTCGAGTGACTGCGCGCAAAGCTCCTAGCCGCTATTTTGAGCAATCCTTGGCAGTAGGGGGGGGGGGGGGGGGGGGTGCAAGCTTGACTGTGTGGTCCGCTGCCGATGCGTAAAATGCCCGTACGTGATTCAGAGGAGCTAACGAGTGATGTGCTTCATTTCTTGCGAAAAAGCACGTCGCCAAGAGTGCTCTTGCGCGTCGTTCCTGCCCACAGTCTCGCTGTCGGCGGAGTTAGGGCTAAAGACGACTCCGATGACGCGCCGCACTCGTAGACTGTGCGCCCGCTCGTAGAAACCTGATCGGGCACCCGCTAACGGCTCCTAAATTAAGCGTAATTATATCCTAAGTGATCATCGAACCGTGAACACGTAACGAAGTAGCGCTTTTCAAGAGCCATGTCGTCACGACGGACAAGCAGCAGATGACGATCTCCCGGAGCGAGCACCGGACCAATGGCGAGGCGAGCTGAGGCAACATGGCGGCCACAGCCAATCAAAGGCCTCGAACCGACCTTCAAACATTTGCTTTTTGTGCACTTATTTTTAAAAGAAGAAGTCAGCTGAGGCAGGAAAGTTAAACACGGAGAAATGCTCTTTCCGATGAGCCCAAGAAGCCGGCTCCCGGCCCTGCCATCGCGAAGCTATAATTTTACGAAAATTGCTGTTTTCTCACGATTTCCAAAAAAAGTTTCGCTACCTAGGTAGGTGAAATGAATTTTCCGGGGCACTTCTGCGTGGTTTTCAGTGTCGATATTTTGGAATCGGATAGAAAAAGGGTTCTAGAAAATGAAAACTTGATTTTCAAAAAATCTATTCTTTTGCCATTTTGCGTGATCCCAAAGCCGCGTCCCCCTTAAACATAAAAAAAAAAAATAAATCTATGCAAGGGCAATATCTGGGGCTTCGCAGCAGCGTGAACTTATACCGAGTACAAGTTTTCACGGCTTAGCACTGCTCCCTGCGGTGAAACAATCTTTACAAAATTTTTAATGCGAACTAATATACATTTAAAAATGCTTTCATGACGTAGCACTCCTTCACTGAAGTGAAATCACCTTTAGAGAAGCTACATGAGGATTAATTGACACCTACTGGTTCATTTCGAATGCTTAGAAATTTTCAATAATTTAAATTCAAGTTGAACCAAATTTGCATACTGTAATACTCATTCGAATATTTGTACAAGCCTAGAAAACTGCGTTTGCAGTGCTGCCTATAGCCCACAGTCAGTGAAAGTCGTTACTATTGTCATCACAATATAACGAGTGTGAAGAACCTTGTTGGCCTGATTTAAGAACTTGCTCGAATAAACATGCTCAAAGCAGGTGACAGTGTCTTTTCATGAAACATGCTAAGAGATTCTTTAGGTAGTGCAGTGCATGCAGCCAAGTTATCAGTGAGTAAGGAAACATGGCCTTACCTGGATAGGAGCAGGCCCTCTGACGAGGGTTCGTGCACAGCGGGAGATGGGGCCATATTTGGAGACCAGGGGAGGGTCAAAGGGTACCAAGGGGTCCTCCTCGGATGGGCAACTGCATCACCATAACAAGAGTCACGTGACTGAGTAAACGATGGCACCAACCTTAACTCAAAAATAGGAGTGCACGATAATGAAACTTTTTCTGAATAATGAATATTTTATGAATAGCATTTCCTATTCCGTTCTATTCGCACCAGAACTTTACTACTCGATGTATACGAACTCACCAAAAATCATTACCATGACAATAAACTGGTATGCAGTCAGCTTGGTCTTGCGTTCAAGGGCGCCGACGGACGAAACTGCTAGCCACTTCTACCGGTGCTTTCAGTGGTCGCTGCATGACAAGCTGTGTAACAAGGTTGGCTGAATGGTCCCCTTCGGAATTCTTAAAATACCCATCCACTGTTTTGAAGAACGAGTGGGAGACACCATTCATTGCTTGCAATGAAGCACACTGCAGCTTCCTCACTTTTGCATGTCTGTTATCGCAATGGTTTTGCCCACAAAGCTCAGATTCACCTCGTACATCATGGCACTGTGAGTGGAGTTTGGCCTAGCCACTACTCTAGGAAGTAAGCTTGATCCGGTGTGCAAGGCTGCTGTACTCCGCATAAGAGTTTCTTGAAATTAACTAAAGGAGACTCTGGCCCTGCGATCATTCAGCAACAATGGGAATGGTGGATAGTACATAGATTTGCCTAGCCTTCATGCTTGCAGGTTTCAAATGCACCTGTGGCTTTTTTATTGCAGCGTGTTCCGTTTCGAACAAAATAACAAACCATATTGAACTTCGTGACCAGATTTGAATTGATCAGCCTAAAAGGTCAAGTTTAACCTTTACTGATTGTCATCTCGTGACAAAGCAGCTTCAAGCCATGTGAAGCCTAAAGGACCTGAGAGTGCGAAGATTATACAAATCTATCTAGTACCCATCATTCCTGTGCACACTGAAGCGCCATGTGTTGCAGCTTCCATAGGCACTAGTGCTCCGCTTCGCTTTAGTGTACTTATAGGAAGCTCTATGGTGCCCGGTGTTTCAAAGTATGTCATGCCCTATTGCGAGTACAAAGAGTCCCTGTGAGATTGTCTTCGTCATGAGGTCCAAAGTGGTTATAAGCAGAACTTCAAACTACACTGGTCTGAGATATGTATCTGCTACGCTCGCATTGTACTATCGTTATCTGAGGATTGAGCTTCTGCTTCCAGTTGGAAAACTAAAGTGTAATTATTGTCAATGATCATTGACTCATGAACACAGAACAAGTGGGGGTGTGCTCATAATTAGTGCAACTTTTGACAGCTGTGGCCTTGCGACACGGCAGCAGCAGACAACGCTCTCCCATGGCAAAGAATCAGGCCAATTGTGAGGCATGCTGTTGCAACATGGCGGACGCAGTCATTCGGAGCCTTGAAACAAACTTCAAACATTTGCTTTTTGTACGCTTCCTCCTGAATGGAGAACCTCACTGGAGTGGTTAATTTGAAAACTGAGAAATGCTCTTTCCAACGAGTCAAAACTGAAGAGCTCGCCACTTCAGCAGGTCACACTTCCATGTAAATTTCAATGAATATATTTTGGAATCAAAAAACAGGATACAGAAACTGAAAATATAATTTAAAAAAAATCTTACTTTTCATGATACAGAGGCTGCATGCCCTCTAAAAAATAAATCAGTTTTTTGACAGTGTTAGCGATTTGTAACTCTCATTGGTAATAACGTACCTATTCATTCATAAAGGTCTGTAATAACAGTACCTGACCTTACATAGACCTGTTATAATGGAAAAAAATCCTCTTCACTATAAAGGCCCATTGTAATGAGGCAATACTGTATGCATTCTACTCTCATTTGGTGATGGTGATGTCTGAACACCTGCCATTGACAGTACACTGCTACTACTGCCGCAAATGTAGTTTCGATTTCATACTTCGACTCGTCTTTTCAAAATGTGCTTTCTGAATAATGTCTTCGCGCTGGAAAATCAGTGCTATATAAAATATAAAAATTATTACGATCACACGAAAAACGGCAAACTACCAAGTTATTCAGGCTCGTAGCAATACTGCATGCTACCTCACCCGCATCAATATGTGACAACTACCAGCTTATTTTTCATTTTACGCAGCAGACAGTTCGCTAAAAAAAATTTCGTTTTGGCCACATTTTGCACTATATATTAACGCAAAGTGCTCCTTGGTCAGATTAGCAAAAGAGCACATTCGTCCAGTGTTTGCAAAAGCCGTGTGCGAAAAACACGCGACTTCATCCACTGGCATCGACACTGGTGCCAATGTATAAAGTGTTGACACCACTTTTGTTGCACCAAACAATATAAATAAACACAATTCAGCCTCCACATTTTCTCAATCTCTACAACACATCCAGAAGACGTGACCTACCGTAATTACTCGAATCTAACGCGCACCTTTTTTCCGGTTAAGAGAGTTTATAAACCGCATGCGCGTTAGAATCGAGTCCGGAAAAAAAAAATGAATACGGTCATTCTATTGCCATCGGCATTTCCAAAATGGCCGCCCCCTACGTGCGTCAGCATCGCGCGTCGGCCATTTCTGCCTATGTGTTTCCCATGTGCAGCACTTCGTACGTGTGCTGAGGAGTTCGTCATCTTGTAGTGCATTAGCATCGACGGCATGAAAGGGCCGACTCCAAAAACTCGAGTGCACCACGATGCCGCTTTTAAAAGAAAAGTCATCGCGTGTGCAGAAACGGACGGAAATCGGGCCGCATCACGGTCGTTCGGAGTTTCTGAAACGTGCGTGCGGGACTGGCGGAAACAAAAGCAGAAGATTGTCGTCAGCAAAGCTTCACGCAAAAGCTTCAGTGGGCCACAGCAGGGTCGGTTTCCGCAAATTGAAGAACTGCTCGGCGAGTATGTGCTTGAGCAGCAAGCGGCACAGCGGCCTGTGACGACAGAACTGCTCCAAGTGCGGGCTATGCAATTAGCCTTAAAAAAAGGTCTAACGCGGAGCCAGTTTAAAACGAGCAGGTGCTGGCTAACCAACTTTATGAAGAGGAAAGGCTTTTCCCTCCAAAGGTGAACGGGCATATGTGAAAAGTTTTGCGGAGGAGTACGATGAAAAGCTTCACAGTTTTCAGAGGTTCGTCCTAAACTTGCGGCACAACAACGGCTACCTGCTTGGGCAAATCGGGAATGCCGATCAGACGCCTCTTCGACGTGCCTGGCACCACAACCGTCGAGAAAAAGGGGGCGAAGGAAGTTCGCGTGCTGACATCGGTCCAAGGTAAAACTACAGTGACGGCAATGCTCTGTTACACGTCAGATGGGCACAAGCTTCCCCCGTACCTCATATTTAAATGGAAAACGCTCCTGAAAGGAGTTGTTTTTTCGAGTGGTGTGGATCATGCGGGCCAGCGAGAAAAATGGTTGCGTGTTACAATCGAGGGCGCGCTAGAGTCGAGTAAATACGGTAACAGCACCCCTCCAGTGCTTCATCAACGTAGCCAAATGAAATGCTTTCATATTCCTACCTCATAAGGATATGCTTGCCGATACTCAGCAACTTTTTTTTTTCACAATTTTCTTTCGAAGTACAGGAAACCCATTCAACAAATATTCGAAAATTATTAGATCGATTTGCACTACATTACCCAATTTTTCTTGACACTCAGAATGTTGCTATTCGCACAACTCCACTGAGAAAGCTACCGAGACTTCGTGCAAAAGATGCGCTCAACTACAGTCGAACATGGATATATTTAACCCACATATATAGAATTTTCCGGTATATTAAACTCGTAAGTTACCCTTTGAAATTTTTTTGTAAAAGTATCGAAATTCGAATATTTATATTGAATGGTATTTTTACCCGCCTTCAGATATATTCAACGCCGCTCGCGCTGGAAGGTGCAGTTTGGCACTCGCTGCACCCTGCGATCTCCACGACCGCGCGGCTCCGCACTCAAGTTGGAAGGTGCATTTTGGCACTCGCAGCACCAAACGACCACCGCGTGGCACTACGCCTTCGCCAAAACCTGAAATGCTCGAAAAAAGGTAAGGGTGAGACGGCTTGGTCTTCACAATCTCTAACTTGCCGAACAGCTTTTTTTTTCGTTTTTCTTTCTTTCTCTCATCCTTTCTCTGCGTACCCGTCGACTCGGAGAGCAGGAACCAAGGAGCCGACGTCCTCCTTCTTTCGCCTTTTATTTTTCGTTGCTGTCTTGCGGGTTTTGATCAGCCAACCACAGCTCGCACCTTTTGCTGCTGCCCTCGCATGTTGCCATCGCCTTGCAAGTGCTTTGTTGCTTTCATTGTCATGTCCCCTATGTACCACTGCATGTGCAGCATTTCTCTTTTGCGTATGTGGTGTGCAAAGCCGCTGCAGACTCCTTGAATTGTTGACATCTCGTGTTACTATGGCCAGCATCAAGAAGAGCAAGACTCTTGACTTTGTGACGAAGTTGAAGGCTATTCAGCATGGTGAGGCAGGTGAGAAATGTTCGACCATCGTGGACGACTTTGAGATACCACGGAGCACTCCGAGTACCTTGAAGAACAAAGCAGATAACAAGGCAAAGGCGGCGGTGCAGCGAACATAGGGAACCTGTCATATGTGCACGCTCCTGCCCACTAGAATGTAGAAAAGGCACTCTATGCCTGCTTTTTAGAAGTGTGCGCGAAGAACATTCCGGTGGATGGCTCGATGCTGATGGCCAAGGCCAAATGATTTGCCGCTGCACTCGGTGAAACAACTTCGCTGACAAAAGCGGGTGGCTTCACCGATTTAAGCAGCGCTACAACATCGTTGGCAAAACCATTTCTGGCGAAAGTGATGCTGTCAGCAGCCAGGACATCCATCAGTGGATGACGAAGGAGTGGCCAGAAATCTCTGCAAAGTTTTCTTCCGCAAAGATTTTTAACACCTTGTGAGACGTGAAGACGAACACAGCGGTCAACTGCTTACTCAAGGCAGGCTTCGGGATGGGTGAACTTGCAGAAACAGGTGAAGACAGCGACGATGAGCGCATACACGACGCATATCGTGAGTTGTCGCCCCTCTTCCCGGCA